AGCAGTAGTTACTTCTACTTTGGTTTTTCTAATATGATAGACATTCCCAATAAACTGCTCAATCCTTTTGTATTCATACGAGTGAGCCTTAATATAACAAGGTATTACTATTTCACGCAAGAAACACCGCAAACAGGTTAATTTGCACTTACTAAAACGTACAACTCCCTCTGAATTTGCAAGCACCACCATGAAATATTTTTTTCTGTGCACAAAATTTAATTTTCCGAATAGAACCAGATGAGCCACGGGATGTTTTCGAACTATTAACCGAAAATTGGATTAAATATTAAATTGCACTACCAACACATTTCATCGTGCCCGAATATTACAAAACAGGCTAAGTTAAGGGCATTGAAGTCCTTAATGAACGACTAAGAATTGCGCTCGCCTGTAAATTTGGTGTTACCGGAAATACTAATCATTGAGAGTATGCGAGTAATATGTGTAAATTCGCTTTGCATCCGTATGAAAGGAAAGATCCGTTGCGGAGTCGTTGTGGAGTCGCATTGTAGTATTTGCTTGTATCTTTGCAATGAACGACTGGTGTCAATGAATATCGAGGAAACTTGAAGAAGACACAATCAGGAGAAGGTAGATGTTCAGTTTCCGTAAGTCAGATGCAAATGAGAATTTTGCTTTGCGGTACATCCTAAACGTGACATCAATTTACACCGGTTGCCCGCCAGAATGGAAGTAGGCGAACTCTTCGACTTCCAGTCACTCTTTCTTCCTCATCTGACGTACAGGAGATTTTGAAGCGGGCTGGCGGCATTCAAAAGGACAACACAATGATCAGGCACCCATCTGAGGATCGTCCCCTAGACGCGCGAAAGCTTGGTCATAGCAGGTCAGGGGTGGAAGCACGAAACAGGCTTCCACCGGGCACCAAACCAGACGACCCCAAACTCATGACCAAGCCGATTGTGGTCATATCCCTCCGTGCTTTCGAGGGCAGGCCGATGAAACCAGCTGCGTCTCCGGACAAAAGTTTTTATTCGACCACCACAAGCTTCACGCCCACTAAAGGCAGGGACGCCCTGAAGGAGGCAAACCCCACATGCAAGCAGCGCACAAACTACTTGGAGCTATCAACGCTTATCTCCGTATCAGAGGACACAGCTGCAGCCGTGCACTCTCCAAGAAATTCGCAGCCTCTGAACTGGACTGAATCAGGTGTGCGGGACAAGAAGCGAATCCAATCTCGAGCTCCACTCCGTCAAAAGCGGCCCCTCTGCTTGTGGACACAATCGCCACACAGTACGCCGACACCCACAGCCATAAACAAGACTACAGCCATCCGGAAAATCCCTCGTACATCCAGTTCGCCACGCTGATCACTGGCGGATCGGGTGCCCACAAAAACACGAAAGAAGAGCGACTGCAGCCAAACAAGCCACATAAAACTCGCCAGATTAGAAAACTGCTGACTGGCTTCAAGGTGAAGTCTTCCGCGAAAACGAGCCTCTTGGGAGCGCCACCAAAATCATTATATCTTGGTGCCACCGCCCAGCGTTCAGGGTCTCAGAGAGACACTTTTCCGGTCAAATCGCGCCAAAACACCGAAGGATCCAGAAAGGCGAAAGCTTGCAGCAAACCTTTGATCAACAGCAAATCTAGTCGACGAAAAGGGGATGC